TTATGAATTCGTGAGTCTCTTTTAGCTATTATTCATCCAAATTGTTCTTACTGCATCTTCCATTCAATTGTATTTATTCTACGTCATGTATGTATGTATATATATATATATATACATGGCAAGGGCGTCTTGTCCTAATCATGCTATTTGAGTTATTCGAGTTAGTACACATTTATTTGTTCAGTAACATTTTGGTATGCTTTTTACCTCTAAAAGTACGTATGTTGGTACTTTTGATCGATTATGTATTCTTCGAATTGAGCTTCTTTATATTATGCCTACTTGTTATTCAACATAATTCTTTGTTTGACTTTTCRTGTGACTTTGTTATCTATTGACCATATGTAAGACATTTAATGTCACATTCGTTGTGACAACTCAACTCCGGGTAACTCGAGCTACTAACCACCTATGGGGGTACCATAGGCACGTCATTGTGGCACCGATGGCGTGACACTAACCGTGGCAGTGTGATCAGTCCACGGCGTCTCCTCTTTTGTGCTCGTGTGAGAACTATTTTGGTGTGATGGATATTTGATTTAGGAGGCGTATGGGTCGACCCTAGCATATGTGATTCGTTTGTAGGGTGGATGTCGGTGTAGTGTCCAACGCCACATCTCACATTTGGTACGTGTGGATCTGCAGTCCAACGTACAGGCCTGTGTGGCCATATGTCTGACACTTGTCATGTTAGTTAATATGCAAGTGTATGCGTTTTCGAGCTCGATGTGTCCCTTCTTATGATTTCGTATGATTATGTTATTTGCTGATTTTCTAAGATTCTGGTACTCGTTTGGTTCGATTTTGGCATGTTTGTAATACCGTTTTTTTATATTTGTTTATCCGTTCACTGGGCATTTGGCTCAGCCGTGTTTTCTTCTATTCCTCACGGCAGGTAATCAAGGGGGCGGCTAAGTCTTGTGACAGAGAGTAGACCAKGATCTTGGTTTCAAGGTTTCGAGAGGTTTAGAACTATGTTATTTCGCTTATTAGAATCTTTTTCTTTTGGCTGTTAGATTAGATTTCTTTGGTTGTTTTTAGCTTTTCTTGGAAATAGTTTGTTTGGAKACCTWTATWTCTTATTTGAGGTTATATTCAATTTCGTTATGGAAGATTTTATTTTGTATTGGAGACTATATTTTGGAGGTTTTATATAGCGTTCCGTTACGTTTTGAAGTAACCTCCCTTCCTTCAGAATGGGGGTGTTACAATTATGGTATCAGAGCCAGGTTCAATCTTGTAGAAAGCTAAGTAGGTTTGACCTGTGAGGGTGGGTAGAATTGGGGTTTAGAACTTATTTAAATTAGCTTTGTTATTATTCTTCATTYCCTATRTGTAATATTTGTCCTTTCAATYTAGGATGGCTCGTCGATCTCAGCGTGTGGCTAGTAGGCGTAACCGTACTTCAGCCGGAGGCCCTGAGCCTTCTCATCCGGATGCTAATGAGGGTGAAGTGGACCCATCTATTCTGGCAGCTGTGAATCAGGCAGTCTCTACCTTACTGCCCAGCATCGTGGCCCAAGTAGTCGAGGCAGCTCAGCAGCACTCTACCGGAGGACCTCCACCAGTCTTAGAGACATTAGGGGGTAGTAACCCAAACCAAGCCAGAGATACTAGTGGGGCAACACCAGATGGGGCCATCGATGTGTGGCTTGAGAGGTTTCAGAAACAGAAGCCTCAATCCTTCAGTTCGGCACCGACTCCCGTGGATGCAGAAAATTGGGTCTCACATATACAAAAGATTTTTGAGATTTTGGGGTGTCCAGAACCGTATAAGGTTAAGTTGGCGGCATACAAATTGGAAGGAGATGCTCAAAGATGGTGGGATGCNGGCTGTTAGATTAGATTTCTTTGGTTGTTTTTAGCTTTTCTTGGAAATAGTTTGTTTGGAGACCTTTATATCTTATTTGAGGTTATATTCAATTTCGTTATGGAAGATTTTATTTTGTATTGGAGACTATATTTTGGAGGTTTTATATAGCGTTCCGTTACGTTTTGAAGTAACCTCCCTTCCTTCAGAATGGGGGTGTTACAACTTCTCTGCTTATTGGCTTCTGGTTCATGATTTCCCATGTCCCCTGTTTATTCTTTAACTCTTATGCTTCACATAAACTTCTCTTAGATGTCAACTGGTATATACTGATAAGAAATACTCTGGTCGTATTTATTTCATATTTTATAAAGGAGTATCTGGCTGGAAAACATTGTTGTAACGTCCCTGTATAACCAATTTTTGGAGCTTTCCCTTCTCCCATTCCTTCTACCTCTCTCTCTCGCTCTATCTCTCTCTCTCTCATCTTCGCAGCAATTCATATTGTATCACTTTGTTGCAATGATACCTTTGATGAGAACACACCACCAACAGATGATCCAGAGTACATTTCTTCCCTGGCAGCTTTAATTTTTAAGGGAATGCAAGGTGGTGATGATGATGCTGTTTGGCTAATGCAGGTAAAAACCAACAGAGTTTGTTCATCAGGTTGAGTATCTAATTTTAGTCATAAATCCCAACTAGTGAAGTTTGTCTGGCAAATAATAATTACTCTCATCTGCATACCCCTTATACTGCCAATCACAGATTCCTATTATTTTGTGTATTCAGGGATGGCTCTTTGCATATGATCCATACTGGAGGCTGACATGACTCTCAAATTCGTCCATGAGGAAGTATTTGTTTCATAATATTTCATATCATGGAAGCTTGTAGATATCTCAATTGTGTGTAGACCTTCTGGTTCTTCAATATTTGGCGATCTTCTGTTTTTGCTAGTATGCATTTGTGTTTTCTGATGTTACTGCCTTGCATTCTTCTTTCAGGCACTCTTACATTCTGTTCCTATTGGGAAAATGATTGTCCTTGATCTTTTTGCTGAAGTCAATCCTATTTGGACTACTTCAAATCAGTTCTATGGCGTTCCTTGTATCTGGAAAGTTAAATCTTTCGCTTCTAAGCTCTGCATGATAAGTTAGCTTGTACATTCTTTGCACGTCGCCTGTTGCCGCTTTTTAACAGGAAACATGGGATTGTGTTTTATTTTGTTTCGTTAAAGTTAAAGTTTCACCGACTTTCTATAACCAACAACCAATCATAGTTCGTATGATGGTTCCTTGAGTTAGAGAGGGAAAAGGCGGGAAGAAAAGGAAAGAAATAACCCTATGTAAAATAAGCTACGTAGCAAGGACCTTTCAAATGTCTGCCATGTCGAAGAACTAGCCTTAAGGCCTATCAAGAAAGAATTATTTTTTTGATTAACCTGGATATCCAACCCGCTATGCGAGCCGACTAATCCCACGGCGACCACCTGCTTTGTAGATAGCCTGAAGTCACCGCATTTAAACCTCCATGGCCACAAGAGGGTTTTTATTCCTCATTGGATTTGAACCTGAGACCTCCTGGTACTTTTGACCTTTGAAGCCAAGCTCAAACCAATCAGGCACCACCTTTGTGGTTATCAAGAAAGAATTTCTCACATCTCAACCACCAGCTTCTACATCTGTTCTGCTTTTACACCACCAGTAGCAGTCTCTCCAATCTTGGGCTTTCAATACAGGTATCCTTCATCCTTCTTTCAATCTTT